GGAGGAAGAAATGATGAATATTATTGCCAATGCTGGTGAGCAGGATGTTGATGATGGAAGTCAATACCTAGCTCTTGAAAATGAGCAAGAAAATGTTTTGCAAGAAAATACAGGCGAGGTATATATACTAAATATATATTATATGTGAATATTGTATATATTTCTGTGTACAAAAGATATTTATTTATTTTTTTATATATAGCCCTCTGGATCGGCGACCACAACGGCGAAGAGCAAAAATGTTCGAGGACCGAAGAAACCACTGGAGGGCCGGTACATAATATCAGAATTCAACATCGAGACAGGCGAACCACTTGGTCCACATAAAAGGAAATTCGTGGAACACTATGGGTACCTTGTAAGGGACAAAATTCTGATCAGTATCCATGAATGGAAGAAAAAGATCAACGAGCCTGATGTTAGTTTTGTCTCTGATGTTGACAAGAATTTGCTCTGGAATGATATCCTTGCCCATTTCACGTTACAAGCGGATGATTATGATGATATCAACGATGATGAATTGAAGGAGCTAGTTCGATCATGGGCTATGAAGAAGATGGCCACACAATTCTAGACTTGGAAGAAAAACCTATACAACACATACATCAAGAAGAACGAAACGCCGAATTTCAATACTGCTACGGGCCCGATCTCGAAACAGAGGCCCTATTGGAATGATTTTGTAGAGTACAAGACATCAGCAGAGGGTGAGGCATGGGTGAGAAGGAACCAAGAGAATGCCTGAAAAAAGGTATACCACCATGACATGGGATCAGGTGGCTACGATACTGCCATTCCAGAGTGGCAAAAAATGGAAGCGGACATTATTGCCAAGGGGATCGAACCAGAATCAGCCAAGTGGCCCCCATGCTCGAAGAATTGGTTTTTCAGTCATGGGGGAAGACTCGACCCACAGACCGGTCTGGCAGTGTATGGGCAAAAACTCGAAACAGCAGCACGTCGATTGGCTTTTGCTATAGAAGCTAAAGAGATTGGTGTGTTCAAGCCCAATAGAGAGAAGGATGAGCTGACGTATGCCATCGGGACTGCTGAACACACTGGCCGAACCAAAGGCTTAGGACGCAACACTCCATGGGTTCATGGTTTCCCTAATGACAAGGAAACCTACCGAAGCCGCCAGAGAAGCAAGGAGGAGCAAGCAACGCGGGTGACACTGTTTGAGGAAATGGTGCTTGAAGCAAAGGAGCGAGAAAAAGCAATGGAAGCAAGAATGCAGGAAGAAATCAGAAAGCAAGTGCAGATAGCAATGAGTGCCCAGAGGCAGGCATCAGAGCCAGGAATGAATGTTAATATTAGCCCCCCTGGTCAGTTGAAAAGCAGCTGCGCTTCCACTGAGCTGCCAAAGCAAGATGACATAGCGCTGCGCTTCCCCGTGGATGATGTCACTACTCCAATGACATCAATTGAGCTACATGTTCCAAGGGGGAATGACACAATCAAGGTCATTGTCGGTATTTTTACTCCTCCAGACCCTACCAAGACACCAAGAATCCATGGGGCACCAATACAACTTGGATATGCTAGGGTCGCAGTGGATAAAGTGAGCAAAGGTTATGAGGATCTAGCTCTTGACATTCCTAGAGGTGATGGAGAGAAGACTCTAGGAGAAGCAGAGAAGGCATATATACTATGGCGCAAGCGCTACATCATTATCCCTGGGGCGTCTGCTCCACCGCCAGCAGACATTAGGTGCGGACAAAAGTTAACAAAACAATTTTTTGATAATTTTCTATGGGTATGACTAATAATAAGCATTTACTTATATCTCATTATTTTTTGTGCTCACAAAGCAGGGCCTCCGCCAACCAAAGTCCAGTTGTTGCTTCTCCCGACCATCATAGTGCTCAGGGCAATGATGACGCCTTCGAAGGCACTGCTGCATCCCCACCATCTCCAACTCCTCCGCCGCCTCCAAGGAAGTCCACAACTCATCCGTCGAGGTCTCCAACGCCTCCGCCGCCTCCAAAGTCTGCACTGCCTCCAAGGCGGTCTCCAACGCCTCCCCCACCTCCAAGGAAGCCAGCCCCTAAGAGGTTCGCCCCGCAAACGAAGCTGTTGCCCTGCCCACCGGCAAAGAAGCAGAAAGCAAATACTCATCCAGTTATTCCCCAAAAACTATCTTATGAGAAAAGTGAACAAGAATTAAATGATGCAGTACAAAAAGAAGTGACATATTTCTTTGAAGGTGCAAAACAGGCACGACGAGCGAGGGAGAACCCGGAGCTATCATACTTCTTCCTACCTCCAGATCAGCTAAGAAAGAAGTTGGAACAAAAAAATGGGATTCTCTTAAGAGCGCCGCGAAACAACCGATATCGGACTATGACCGCTCTCTCACCAAGTCATATGAGGCGGCGCAAAAAAAGAAGAGAGTAGGGAAAGGTGTTGCACAACCCGGACAACAATTGCAATAATCAATCCCCCCCTTGTCGTTCCTAACGAATATAGTTCAAACTTAAACTTAGTGGAGGAGGTAGGCGGCTATGAGTCGTTTCTTCGGTTTTATGAGGACACTGATTTGAACCTTGCCGAAGTGCTCGCTGAAGGACCATCTGCTCCGGAAGTGGATCCTTACAAGAAATTTGTACCAGGCCAGAGTCTATACAACCCAGAGAAATTAGGTGAACTGGGTACGCAAATGTACCTGCTAAACGGATGGTACATGTCGGCGTCTGATGCGGGACAAATCTATCTTTCTGTCAGAATTAGAAACCACCATTACTTCCGTGGCAATGACATTATCTATGTGGAGCTTCCTGAATTACACCAACTATGCCACCTGGACTCTCTCGACAAAAGTCTCATTAGCTGCTATTGTCTGTAAGTGTGATTATTTTCTACTATATTCACAATTTCTTTATTATATATTCACAATTTTCATGTATGCAGATATGAGATGACAAAACTTAGAAAGAGAAAGGATAATGATGTTGGGTTCATTGATCCGTATATCGTATACAAACACCCTAACCCCCTGAAGGATTATAAGCCTCAACCTGAGAGAAATCTCATGAATTTTTTAGTGAACCAACGCGACAAGAAGGAGATACTCTTCCCCTATAACTTCATGTGAGTGTTATTATAAGTAATTAATGTCGATCATATATATGGGACATCAATATTTTCATACTAGCTAGTTACCTCTCTCACACACACACACACACATATATATATATATATATTTATGCAGCAATCACTGGATATTAATGGTCATCGATATGGCCAATAGTAGATTGAAAATCTTAGACTCGTTGAGAAAACCGCAAACGGAGTATCAAGACATGATAGATATTATACAAGGGTAATTAATTTAGTGTCTCTATAACAACATATATATATATATAATGGCGCCGATCTCTCAACAATTATTAAAGGTTAAATTATTTTTTTATTTTATTGGTTGCAGGGTTTGGAAAAGGTTCATTGAGGAACAAAAAATGAAACATTGCAAAGCGCCACTGGGTGTAATCGCACACAAAGTAAGTACTATAACTACACATTTATATTCAATTAACACCATATGATGATTTCAATTCACCCTAATTGATTTTTTTGTCATAAAAGTGGGTTCTAAGGCAGGAGCAGGGTAACAACTACTACGGATACTATGTTTGCGAGTTCATCATGGCGTACTCAAAGAGAACTCCTGAAGAGCAACTCAAAGTACGTATATAAATACTTTTTCCTTTATATTATTTCGATCGTATATTTACAATTTCTTTATTGCTCTCATTTGTATAAGTAATTACATAAGCAATACACATATATATATATATATATTAATACTTTTCCTTTAACTTTTATTGAAGACTGAATGGTTGAGGGAAAAAGTCATACGACTTGACCAAATTAAAGCAATTCGAGAGACTATAGCAGGATTTCTAAATGACCAGGTCATCAACCCCAACGGCGAGTTCTACAATGACCCGAACGAAACGTGGATGCCTGGAGGAGTGAATTGCTAAGGACATAAACAATTTATATATCAAACCTTTGTAATATATATATATATATATATATATGTATGTATGCACATATTATATGTACATAAAATAACGTGTGTATATATATATTCGTTTGTTATTTATGTACAAAGTTCGAACGAAAACTTACGCGTGCGAAGTACACATATATATTACTATTAGCAGCGTATTCGAAAATATATTTTAATATCAAAACTAATCATTAAATGAAAAAAGAAACCAAAAATAAAAACCAGAAAAAGGAAAAAAAGAGAGGGACATTTAGTCCCGGCAACCGGGACTAAAGGTCCTGCCCCATGGCGGTCCCTGGCCAGGCCTGGAGGCCCCCTTTACTCCCGGTTGGTGTTTCCAACCGGGACTAAAGGTGTAGTCCCGGGCGTCAAGCCGGGTACCTTTAGTTCCGGATTGGTGCTCCCGGTTGGGAAACCGGGACTAAAGAGGTTTCCCAACCGGGAGCAAAAAGCCTTGCTGCACCAGTGATATGTAGAATCAGCGGCGGATCCATGAAATATTTTAGGGGGATTAAACAACACACCGCTCGATCTTAAGTCTCAGCCCTCCCACACTATAGAACTTTGCCTAAAAATTCATGGGGCTCTACAGGGTTTTCCACAGCTCCGGTATGGGTAGGGGGGGCTCGAGCCCCCCCCCCCCCCACCGTTGGATCCGTCTATGTGTAGAATCCAAAACTTATATGAGTGAACTAAAGAATCCAGAGCTTTTGAAATTATAGAATCCAAAACTTATAGACGGGAACGTGCAAAAGAAGTAACAAGATCCAACGGCATTTACACAGTATAAAATAAACTGGAATGGAGATGGACCAGCATGCATTATCACATGTTATGTGTATACACACGCACACACACACTAGTATATATCACACTACATATACGTGTGTGACTGTGTCTGCATAGTGCGAAGTGCGTCGATAGGGCCGGGCAATGCATTCACTTCAGACTGTGTATAGATTAGAGAGCGACATCAGTTAGAGAGATGAGTTCCACCACGTCTAGTGCTCTCGTGCTAGCAGCAGCAGTACTCCTAGCACTGACCTTAGCCCAGCATGGCTCCCTCGCCGCAACCGTCGAACCCAGGGTCATCGTCGTCGGCGCCGGCATGTCCGGTAAACATATATATGTCATACATATCAAACAACACGTCTGCCCTGATGACGATGTTGATGAGATGATGAGGTATTTTGTTATATATGTGGATACTTTTTCAGGGATCTCGGCGGCGAAGAGGCTGTCGGACGCCGGGATAACCGACCTGCTGATCCTGGAAGCGACGGACCACATCGGCGGCCGGATGCACAAGAAGAACTTCGCCGGCATCAACGTCGACGTTAGCGCCAACTGGGTGGAGGGCGTGAACGGTGGCAAGATGAGCCCCATCGTCAACTCCACGCTCAAGCTCCGGAACTTCCGCTCCGACTTTCACCCTCTTCGCTTGATCGTTTCTGTGGACTGTATCATAGCTGATAAGCATGGCTAATACAATCAAACTAACAGGGTGTTTGATTACCTCGCCCAGAACGTCTACAATGAGGAGTACGTCGACTATAGAGAGCTGATGAGCTCTGCTAGCTACTCCGTTCCATCCGTTAAAACTATATAGTTCACTTTGATTTGTTATAAGTCAACATTTTTAACTTCAACTAAAATCTTAGAAAATATACATAAATCTAAACAGATGCTCGCTGTGCAGCCCTATATCTGCAATTTGCGACGCCCCACATTGGCCACGGTTGACTCTCGATAGCTTGACTGTTGGAGCCCCACTCTCTCCACTACCGAAAACAGTGACTTTGCCGTATGTCATAGGCACTTGGTGAAGACTAAAAAAAACACTCGGCAAAGACTTTGCCAAGTGTAACATTCGGTAAACAGCACACGACATCTACAGTGTCGGTAAACAACTATTTGCCGAGTGTTTTTTATCACGCACTCGGCAAATGGTTTGCCGAGTGTCAAATTTGACACTCGGCAAAAAAAAAGTGGTTTGCCGAGTGTTTTTCCAAAATACACTCGGCAAAGGATTACTGTTTGCCGAGTGTTTTTGGGAATTACACTCGGCAAACCTATTTTTCAAAGAAAAAAAAATTTAGCACACCATTACTGTTTGTCGAGTGTTTTTGGAAATTACACTCGACAAATCTATTTTTCAAAGAAAAAAAATAATTTTTTTCTCAACGTATTTCAGTCCTTTGGCAATAGCAGCAGCAGTTGGCTCGTTGATGATACGCAGCACATTGAGGCCAGCAATCACCCCAGCATCCTTTGTGGCCTGCCCCTGTGAGTCGTTGAACTAGGCAGGGACTGTCACTACAGCATTCTTGATCGTGCTGCCAAGGTAAGCTTCAGCGATCTCACGCATCTTGATGAGAACCATAGAGGAGATCTCTTCAGCTGCAAACTGCTTCTCCTCACCCTTGTGCTGGACAACAATCATTGGCTTCTCACCAGGCCCAGAAATGACCTTGAAGGGCCACAGCTTGATATCGCTCTGGACAGAGGCATCAGAGAACCTCCTGCCGATGAGACGCTTGGCATCTGCATACAAATGCAATCATGTCAGATATGCATTCCAATACCATACAATTTGAAATGTAACAGAAATCATCCATCAGTTAAATAAAACTTTGATCAATCAAGTGAAATATAATAATCCAGAGACTACCTATAACTAATAAAAAATTCACATCAGTTTTCAGTCAAGATGCCACTAGCAGAAAGGACAATCAAGTGAACTCCAATAATAATAGTAAGATTGTATTCAGAAAACAAATTACAATAGCTGGCTAGCTAGCTAAGAAAAAACAAAAGACTATATTCAGAAAACAAATTACACCTAGCTGGCTAACTAGCTAAGAAAAAACAATCATCAGTTTTTTCAGTCATGATCATTAGAACAATCAGAACATGTAAACGGGCATATAGTAACTGGAAACTCATAATTAAGCAACCAGTGTCGCAAGATCCGTTCCCCCTTGTATTCTGCCATGTTTCAAGACAGACAATCACAAAGAATGACTGCAAGTCAGATACCAAATGGCATTGACTACAACAAATTACACTAGAAAACATACTCTGAAAACAACTGGAATCCAACTAAACTGGCATAAATGCCAGCAGTTAGTTTAAACAGCTGGACCCAAATGCTAGTAATACAAAGAACAAAAGAATAAACGCACTAAAAAATAAGTAATCATACCCATCAGGAAAATGGTAGCCTTTCCCAGGTTGCAGATGAAAGAGGCCTACATTGTGGACACAGATGTCAAATGCCCAGCAGAATGAAGCCTGTAACATTACAGAGATAGCATAATGAGAAGTAAAGCTTAGACATTCAGAAATAATGAAATGACAACGAGCAGACAGAAACTGGGTGATGAAATGCTGAAACTGCTTATTACACTGAGCATCTATGAGCTGAATACATCACTTCTTACTTCTATAGGCATTCCTTGTGGAAATACAAGTATGGATCATCTGGCCAGGATGTCAGCTATGAAATAATGTTAGCTTCAAGCAGCTTAACTAGTTAATTTGATTGCAATTAGTAAATACAACTTGATACATGGGTGTCCTTAATGACTCAAAGCTCTTCTAATAAGTAAATGCGAAGGCCTCAAGTACACAAAGGAAAGCTTATATACACAACAGAACCATTCAGATAGCATCACCTTGAATTAAAGCTGCGCCGTTCTGTGTCGACCTCCAAGCTAACAGTTTCCTCCTCTTTAAATCCAATCCCACATCCTTGTTCCGTGCCCTCAAATCTTCCATAGTGGAAAACCTGGGTGCCAATCACAAGATGAGAGAGGCATGGCAAGTTAAAAAATCAGAACTCCTGTGATAATCAGAACTCCCCCTCCCCCTCCCCTTCCTCCCCGCCCTCCTTTGCTTCCTCCGCCCCCTATCCTTCTCTTCCTCACGCGGTCCGCGGGGCTGGGGCACGCGGCGAGCCGCACCTGGCGGCGCCTTCCCCGCCGTCGGTCATCACGGTGCCTCCTCTCCCCGCTGCGCCCGCCGACCCCTCTCCACTTCTCCCTCACGTGGGATCTAGGGACACGGCCTCCACTGCCGACGCCCCCCGCTCCGGATGTGGGCCCGCGACGGAGTCGGCGGGTTCCGAGGCTGCCGGTGCCGATGATGGCGCAGCCACGACGCCTCGATGTGCACCCGCGCCACCACGCCGCATCCACCTCCGCCACCACGCCCCCTGCCACCGCGCTGCCTCTCTCGGCCAGGGGGCTGCAGCTCACCCCTGGCTTGCGCCGCCGTCCCCTCGGCCGCCTGGGGTGCGCCGCTGCCGGGCCCCCTCCCTGGATCTCGCCGTTGGGGGAGGGAGGGGAGGGGCCGGGATCCGTGGCCGCCGGCAGGGAAGAAGAAGGGGAGGGAGGGGAGGGGCCGGATCCGCGGCCATTGGAAGAAGAAGGGGAGGGAGGGGAGGGGCCGGATCCGCGGCTGCCGCCGGGGAAGACAAAGGGGAGGGAGGGGAGGGTCCGGATCCGCGGCCACCGGCGGGAAGAAGAAGGGAGGGAGGGAGGGGCCAGATCGGGGAAGAAGAAGGGAGGGAGGGAGGAGCGGATCCGTGGCGGAAGAAGAAGGGGAGGGAGGGAGGTCCGGATCCATGGCGGAAGAAGAAGGGGAGGGAGGAGAGGGGCGGATCCATGACGCCGCCGGAAGAAGAAGGGAGGGAGGGAGGAGGGGGGCCGGCCGCCGTGAGGAAGAAGAAGGGAGGGAGGGGGAGGGGCGCGCCGGCAATCAAGAAGAAGGGGAGGGAGGGGGCGGGTGCGGGAGGAGTGGGGCTGGGGAGGGGAGGGGCGGGATTTTAGGGGTGGACGGTTTTTTTTCTATTTTTTTGGGTTTGCTGAGTGTTGTTTTTGACACTCGGCAAACCTGCTTTTTTGCCGAGTGTTTTTTTGACACTCGGTAAACTCCCTATTTGCCGAGTGTTATTTGTTTGACACTCGGCAAACTACCCTCTTTGACGAGTGTTTTTTTTGCGAGTGTTTTTAGTATAGCACCCGGTAAAGAATTTGTTTGCCGAGTGTTCGAGGGAATACACTCGACAAACATAAAAACACTCGGCAAATTTGACGTTTCCGATAGTGATGGATCCCCGTGGCCGCCACGGCGATGAAGAGGATGGCTCTTGAAGATGCTCCACCTTCATTTCGAGAGGTGGCTCATTTAGTCATCCACCTCTGAGAATGACAAGAGCATTTTAGGAGGCGAAGACGTATATGACCACCTCTGAAAATTAATTGCGTTTCAAAAATCTTTTTTTACGGTGGGGCTAGGTGGCTAGATCATAGGCGGAGAGTATCAAATATTTGTTCCTTGAGGTAGTAGGTTAATATAGGTTAGCCATATATCATAGCTTAGTTTGAGACATCGGATGTAGGAAAACACGCTTTATATTTTTTTTAAATGGAGCAAGGAAATAAGATCTAACAAATGCTAATTAATATGAAAAATGTTCGCTAGATCACTGTAAATGATTTCATTCTCATACTCGCCTCAAGAGCTTGCGCGCTGTTGCCGCTTGGCCTTCGAGATGGAGGTGGAGCTCACCAATCTTACCCATGCTTCTGATGAAAGTTTTTCAACTCGGAGATATTTGGGAGTTACTACAGAACTACAGATATTATACTTGACAACATGTTATTTATTATATTCATGTATGCCTTTTGCATTGCTTTATATATAAACTGCAGCGGTGGCCTCTACGATGAAGATTATGTTCAGAAGAGAATTGACCGAGCGGATGGTGTGGAAGAGCTCGGGGAGAAACTCTCTGGCACTTTGCACGCCAGTGGCAGGGGACGGCAGTGAGAGGTGTTGCTGAATAGCAGTGGTCTGTAATTTGAAAAAAAGGACTGTAAAACTGCAAACTAACTAATTCATGCAATGGGCAGACAGCCGAATGGGCCGGCGACGCCGGTGGACATGGTGGTAGACTACTACAAGTTCGACTACGAGTTCGCGGAGACGCCGCGGGTGACCAGCCTGTAGAACGTCGTCCCTCTCTCGACCTTCAGCCACTTCGGCGACGACGTCTACTTCGTCGCCGACCAGCGGGGCTACGAGGCCGTCGTGTACTACCTCGCCGGCCAGTTCCTCAAGACCGACAGGTCTGGAAAGATCGTCGACCCGCGGCTGCAGCTCAACAAGGTATACATGCTTGCATTTTTCTTCTCTGATGCTGCGATGTAGATAATACAACAAATCACATGCATGTATATATACATAATAAATAGGTGGCGCGAGAGATCAGTTATTCCCCGGGTGGCGTCACCGTGAAGACGGAGGACAACTCAGTGTACAGGGCAGACTATGTTATGGTTTCTGCAAGCCTGGGTGTCCTGCAATCCCCTCTCATTCAGTTCAAGCCGCAGCTACCTGTCAGTAGTTCCAATCTCAACTATTCACATCCATATATGTGTGTATATATATCAGGGTGCCTTCTACCTTGCATATATATTTTCTCAGCAATTTCCCTTGTCTGTCCCAGGCATGGAAGGTTACGGCTGTTAAGTGCTTAGGATCATCTAGGTGTAGATTAGTGGATGGATTTATCTCTATTTGGTTCAAATTGATCAAGTACATGACCCAGGAGAGAGATAGACTCGGGAGAGGAAGACAGAGCAGAGACCCATATCTTCGGGCTTGGCAGAGGAGGTGGAGGGGAAGAAATCGCTACGGCAGCGGTTACGTAGTGCGTGGCGGGGTAGTCCAGGTGCCGGCGACGCC